GGGCTTCCTCTACCTCCACTGGGGTAGTGAGGGCACTTCTACCACAGAAATTCTGCAGCCACCACCAGCCTTAAAGTATCCCCATCATCCTTCCACTTTGCCAATGCTTCCCTCTAGATGCTCAGTATCTGGCTCTTACTGGTCCTTCTCCTGGCTGCCAGGGGATCATCTTCTGTGAGGGGGAATTATAGGGCCAAGGGGAGCTGAGAGCACGCAGGAGTGCAGTGTGTAAAACCACCAAACAGGGGGTTGTATGGCAGGAGGACAGAGGGAAGCCTTGGTACTGTGCCAGAAGTTTTGGCATGGCAGAAGTGCAGGAGCCCTCAGTGACCAGCCTTGTGGGAAGCTAAAGCAGGAGTGTAATGCTGGGGGGACAGCAGCACAGAGTTCAGTAACAATCAGATGTTAACTCACAATGAGGCACTGCTAATATTCCTCGAGGGGATTTTCACCTCAGGCAAGGTAGTTCCTTCAAGATTTGCCTTGAAAGAGATGCAAGAAGATCTGAGAATGAGCCTCAGGAACACTGTTCTCTTCAGCCCTTCATAAAGCCTGCTTAATATTCCAAAAAGCCACCCTAATCCTGTCAGCAGTAATGCTGGAAAGACGATAAGCCAGCTCTTTCCCAGTACAGCAATGCATGGAATAATTCTGGTTTGACCTGGACTTTTGTTCCTTTACATGTTACTCATTTTTTTGCTGCACATTTCTAAACTGCAGATGGTCCTCTAAGTCAGTGGTGGTTTTACCCAGCACAACACTGCCTGGGGAATGGGTCCATGTTAGCTGAGATGGATCCACCAACCAGATGCCAGCGCTGGTGATCTGGGTGTCAATACATTGATTTATGCTCTTTGTTGTGTTCACGCTCTGTGTAATTAATGCAGATGGAGAAATTTGTGTCCCTTCTGAGCACCAACCACAGCCATCGAATGACTCTGTCAGAGACTGTGAACACAGAGGTGCCAAGTGGACACACACCAGCTGTCATGGGCATATAGACTGCATTTAAATAGGTATATGGCAACTCACTAACCTCTTCAGTCAGCAGAAATGCAGCATCATATCTTGGTATCGGTTTAAAATCTGCAGTAAGAGGTCATTGTAATGGTGATCTCCCTAAACTGATAATTATCCCTCCTCAATCTTGAAGAACAAGGGATGTCTCTCCCTTTTACCCTTTCCTGCTCAAGCACTTTATAGTGGTAGCTGGTTACATCCCCAGCACGTCCTATCTCTGAGAGAAAGTCATGGTAGGAAGAAGCTCAGGGGAAGGATAGTCCTAAGTAACTCCCCATTGCTTCAGCCTTTGAAAGGACAGTAGAAGGGAAACGAAATGAACTTTGGGGTGCTCCATCAACCCCACCAGTGCTGGGAGGTCCCAGGCTGCTCTTGCCCTTCAGCAGCTTCCCCAAGGTGAAATAGGATCAATATGCCTGGCTGGAGTCAGCATTATAGAACTTCATTTATTTCAGTTCTAGATGCTTACCTTTTTGCCTTCATCTAAATGCAGCAACCAGAGCATGAAATGCTCACTGTCACACTCGGCACAAAGCCCAGTCTGCACTTTATATCCCTTTTTCTCCCCCTTGGTGCTTCTGTGCATGGACAAGAAATCAGAGTCGGCAAAGGGGTTAAGCCCAAATGCAAGACTTACAGTCCAACAAATCTGAAAAACTCCTTTTCCTTCTCTTTTCTCCCTCTGAAAAGGATTTTTCTTGTCACACTGTACATCCAGCCTTCCTGGAGTCCACAAGTAATGTTCATTTGCCACAGTGATGGGCTCAGACTCTTGGGGGCACAGTCACACTACCTATAAACAATAAAATTCCTAGCTGCTGTAATCATGTGTTCAGCAATGAGTAATATGTTCTGCAAAAAATGCCTAAGGAAGCTGCCAGAGTATGCTGAAGGTGGCTATAAACTATTCTTCTGAAATCAGTTTCTTGACAGTTGGTCAAAATATCAGTCATAGAGTTACTGAACTATTCCTTACAGTTTTCTTTGCCTCCTAAGTGATCTTAGTCATATTAAAATAACCATAATGTTAGGAAGTATTGTGAGGGAAGAATTCAAACTCTCCTCTCCAACACACACTCCACTGAGACTCCATCACCATTTTGACAAGTTTGTGTCAAGAAATTATATGCCCCTGATTAAAAATTAGTTATTTAAGAGAGCTACTAAAAAATTGGGATCTCTCTCTTTAAACATTTGACCCTGAGGTAGGAGAGGAAGGGAGGGAGATAGAAGGAGAGAGAATATGATAATCTCTTTAGATAACAACCTGACTCATGGTAATAGCAGCCTAATTGCTATCCAAATGCTTTCAGCAGGAAACAGACACACATAGAGAGGCACCTGTGCAGAGGAAGATTAGTTTTAAATGGAAGAAGGGCATAGGTATAAATGCACTTTCATCTGAATATAGTGGAAAGTAAGAAAAAATTGTTTGTTTAGGTAAAAACTGCCTTAAATCCAGGAGCTGCTTTCAGATAATGGGATGTGGCTGGTATGTAATTCGTGTGAGAAACAGGTACATTAGAGGGCTCAGAATGAAACAGGCATTGGTATTTAAGCAGGAAAAAGAAAATAACCACATGTGGGGAAGGAGTGGTTGATGCTCTCTGTCCAAAATAAATCAGCTTCTGCAATGATTATGACCCTTCTATGACTAAAACTCATAATGTCAGTCTGACAATACAAAATACGACCTTTACTTCAAAGTCGGTGTGACTGTAGTAAGTGATTTGCTTGGAAGAAAGCTGCATGAGAAATGAATGGTCCGTAGTTGATTTCTAAGTATCAAACATGCCCTTTATATGCCCGAGCCATGCTTTTGTAGGTTTATGATTCGTTGTTCTTCTCCACTGCTCCATCACTCTGAGCACTTGAGCCCCTAGCTCTGGCTGCAGCCCCCTGACACAGCAGCTGCAGGCCCAGCAAGTGAGAGGAGGTTTCCTTGTAGGTTTGGGCAGAGCTCTCTCAGCCTCAGTTCTCCAGCTGCCCTCGCTATTTCCTGCAGCACTTCTGAGAACGGGGCTGTGGTGACCACGTGCTGCCCACAGGTCTTGGGAGGAAATGAAGATCTGTATTTCTGAGTAAGAGATGATAAAATGCTGCTTTGTTTGCACAGGACACGGTCTGTGGAGTGGGGAGAGTTGAGTATAAGAATCGATTGTGTTCTCTGATGAAGGAGTCAGGCCTTTCAGCAAGGGTATTGATTTATGCATTCAACTCTGCAAGTTGCTTTCCACTACATCTTTTGCTACTAAAACTCGGTGATGTGAATGTCAATAGGCATGAACAAAAGCCCCATGTTTTGAAAAGCCTGGATGTGTATCTGTAGGACATAAAAACTACTACATCTCTTTGCTTTTGCTGTTCTTTGCAAGCCATTTTCATAGATTGTTGGTAATAGATTTGGCATGCAGTACCAATGTGTGTGCCTATGCATTACCATGAATGCTATTTTGTCTTTAAAATAACCTATTTTTCTTATTTGTAAATAGCATTTGATCACAGTCCAGAAATATTTTATGCCAGAAATTATCTATCTTGAATTGCTGCATAATAGTATTTTGGTAGGCTGCTATGGCAACAGGTGTACACTCTCTGGATTCAAGCATCAAAGGTTCTTATGGTAACTGTCTTTTGGATACCTTCACAAGCTGGAAACTATGCTGAGCTATCCCAGTAATCTCTGGAAAGACAGCAGAATAGAATAAACTGACATGTTTACCACCTTACATTTGGTTTTAAAATATACATAAAAGCATGCCTTACAGAAAAATAAAAAGAAAAAGAAGAAAAAAAAACCACACAAAAACAACACTGTAGAAAAAAAATGAAACAATAACATGAGAACATTTTATGAATATTTAGCATAATTTAGTGTTTTGTTATACTGATGCTTAAACTTCAACCAATGATGGATTGGCACTGTCAGTATGTTATACATCATACAGACTCAGAATAAGTACTGATCCCTGCCACAAGGCATCTCTGGGTATTGGTTTTTTTCTTCTTTTTTAAGACTTGGTATAATTTTACAAAACAGGACCTCCCATTAGAAATTCATTGTGTTCAAATGACTTGACCTGTAATACACAGCAGCAATCCTAAGAAAAGAAACAGTCGGCCATGCTCTTAAGCACCCCATTTCAGCTTCCCTTCTGCATCCCAAGCTACTGTTTGCATCAATCCAACAGACTTTATTATCACCACTGTCCCCACATGACCCTTCCACAGCTGCAGGTCTGTAAGTAGCTGGTAAAGGTGGTGTCTGCCTGTGATCACAGATCTCCAGTGTTCATCGTTAGGCTTCAGGTCAGTGCAAACCCCACATGCACACTCCTGATGATGATTTCTCTTTGGAAACATAGCCTGAGCTTCACAAAAATGGATGGTAACTCTTGAACAGGAAGACGTCAAGTTAAATAATTAGGTTAGCATAGAAGAAACCATAAAGTGTCTGTCCCTTAATATCTTTAAGAACAAATTATAAAGACTTCTATGATGGATGTCATAAGTAATGCTGTTTGTGGTAGAGAGGTCAATTAGATGATATCTTAAATTCTGTATTTATGGGGCTCTGTCATCACTGTGCTTGCCCTTGCTTGAGTGTAACCCTTCACAAGCACAGACTCAGGGATAGGTCAGCAGATGCCAGAGAGAGGAAGTTTGCAATGATATATCAAGCATGCGGGGAAGAAAACAAACACCTGAGCATCTGGAAGAGTGTCATATGCTCTTAACCATTTTTCTATGAAACTTTTTTAATATCTGAGGCTTACTCATATAACTTTTTATAAAAAAAGTCATCTGGTCCACAATACAGACTGAATTGTATAGGTAGTTTTATTTATTTAATACATACTGTAAGGTTTAATTTAAGTGGTAGAGGATAAACATATTTTTACAAAACAGAAAAGTATCTTAAGAAACTAAAAATTGACTCTGCAGAACATCAAAACTTTCTAATGTCAGCCATTCAAACACTAAGTGTTAATGTGGCTATACTGGGAAATATGCAGAGTAGGAGTGCTCATTTCTGAGGATATCTTCTCACTGGCTATTTGTAGGAAGCGGCTGATGACAATGTCTTTGGCCTTCATGGTCTCCATGTTCCTTTCCCGTGATATCTGCATGCTGATTTGATCCACGTTAGCCATGATAAGCTCCGAGGCCAGGATCTGAGTAGGGGATGCCCTGTTTGCCGTGCTGTCCATGATGTACTGCTTGTACAGTTCCACCAGCTTCTGCTCGAGGTAGTCGTTCAGGGCCGAGTCGGACAGGGGCTGCTGGTTTGGCCCCAGGCTCGTCAGTCTCCAGCACGAGGAGTAGCCTTGGCCTGGCTTTCGGACAGTGTCGCTGGAGGGGAGCTCTCACGGACTCCATGGGGGGAGGAATCTCTGAGGACTCCAAGAAGGGGCCTATGCCACTGTCACAAGCAAAATCTGTCGTGACTGAGCTGATGGGCACCACGTAGTCCCCAGCTATATGCAAATCGTTGTAGTTCTTGCAAATGCTTTTGCAGGAAGGTGGAACCAGGTAGGTGACCTTTTTTGTCAGCCCTTCGCAGCCATGAGTAGCTGGAGATGGCTGCTCTGTGGGCACAGGGTGATGTGCAGGCTGTGGGAGATTATCCTTCTGCCTTCTGCTGTGCTTGCTACCTCTAGAGCAGACTGAGGAAATGCACTTGCCAGCAGATCTGCATCTCTGAAGGAGGCTTTTTCCTTGTGCTTCCTCCCTGGGGGAATAATTAATGGACCTCATTTCATATACCACTTCATCAGCCGAACTCTTGCTGTAGAGCTCAGGGTTCAGCTCTCCACAAAGGTAGGTGATTCTGTAAAGATAACCTTCTGACAGCATCCTTCTCTGAAGTCAAGGAACCACCAACAGACATAAAAATGAAAAGAAGAAGTTAATTACAAAAAGTTCATTATAAATTCACTGAATAGTGCTTACACTCACAAGCCTGTTATAGCTGCAGAGAGGTGTTTCCAATTTGGACGTGAACAAGAGTGTCTCAGTCCTTCCAGAGGACCTGAGTCAATGAGTGATCATCCCATCTCCCTGTTGTGCTGTTAACTCAGTCACATCAAAGCATATTTTGTGTAACATAACATATGCCATGTCCAATGCATCCAATGTCAAGTGACTTGTGGAGAGAGGGACAAGAAGTGCTTTGCTGTGGAATAGCTCCTGTAATAATTTACACTTAAATATGTCTGGGTTTGCCCTGAACTTCATTAAGAAGCCAAGGTGCTTCCTCCTTATTCTCATATGCTTTGAAGCAACTTTTTTGTGTGTGGTTTGTCAGCTGCCCCTGAACTATATTGATTTGAGATTCATACTGAGAGTATCACCCCTTCTGTTCCAGACTAATCAACAACTGTAGGTGTGGTTCCCTTTTCACTAAAGAATCTCAGACCATTAATTTTGCACTTTGCACTTCTGCATTGCAATCAGGATGGAATTAATTGTCTCTCACTTTTAGACATGAAAATGTCAGCGGCAAAAGCAAAACTGGATACATCTGGCCTGGTTTAGACACTTAAATCAAAATGAGGTGAATTGTGCCCTGGATTTGCTTATCACCCTCCAGTTGCTATAAAGGAATCTTAAACTGATCACCCTAGATGTAGAAATCTGCAGTGTACTTTTGAAGAGACACACTTCAGTGCAATGCATAGGAAAATGCACATTTCACAAGTACTCCAGCTCTTTCACTGTGGGATTAGTTGTGCCACTAGCTCTGAAATCAGTCTCCATTGCATTTCTGCAAAGGCACAGTCGGGTTCTACAGTCACTAACTTGCTCTACTCTCTGAGCAGGTAGCTCAGTTTCAAAAGCTGCTCAGACAAGACTTGCTAGCAGGGACACACATGCATTTGCACATCAGTAAATGTTCTGCCCAAGCTTTAGCAGCTCCACTACCACCAAAACTGTTCTTAAGTCCACCTCTGTGTCTTTTTTTTTTTCAACAGATGTCAAGGATACAATCAATGGGAAAGATGTCCTAAACAAATTCTTTAATCCAGCAAAGAAAAAGTAGATACAAATTGTAAATAAATTAAAATTAAAATTATTTTTTCTTTCTATAATATGAAATATCTTGCGTGATTGAGAAACAAATAGCTTGCCTTTGTTTTATTTCCAAATACTTTTCTTCATTTATTATTTAACCCAATTATAATCCTTAATGGATACTGTCTCTGCAGATACGAAAATATGTCCCAGTTATTTGACAATTTGCCTGTCTCTTTCAAAACTCCTGCTGTGCTGGAGTCCCAGAATGGGAACACCTTGCCACAGACTGTGAACGAAGAGGTGGTATCTCTCTGGCACACGCTGTACTATGCTCTGCTGCTGTCAATTGCTCAGTTTATCTTTTCCAAGAATGAATAATACTTAATAAAGTACTTTATGTGTCTCAGTTGCTAGTGCAGAATGCTGCACTAATAATAATTGTTGTGAAAATCCTATCTAAGCATGGATATAGACTTTGCACAGATGTTAGGTAGGAGACAGTGTGAGAAAAGACAAGGAATCACTTCCACTCTAAGAAGGATGAGAAGGTTGGAGGTGAAATAACCTTCCTTCAGTCAGAAATATTAATGGGAATTAGATGTGTCCAAACACTTGCTTCGAGTGACACTGGATCCTCTCTGATGCTGCCAGTTGTGTGAGATTTCCCACAGGCAGTAGCAATTAGTGAAAAGTGATTCATTTACACAAGAGGGGAAAAAATCACGTTTGGGGCTTGGCACTCCTTGCAGTTTTAGGTTTGCTTTAGGTTTTAGCTCTGATTAAGGTACCCCCTCAGAACTCTTAGCCAAATACTAGAGCTACACAGGTTATCAACTCATCCTCCTCTCTCTTCTGCTTCTGTTTCTCTCTTTTGCAGTGCAAAGGCTGTTCCCTTCCCCCAGCCATCCATGGCCCAGATGGCTTTATTGCAAAGTCACCACTAACTTTGGCTGGCCTGAATCTGGAATTGTTATACGTTTATTGGTATGCTATTTTTAATGTGGATTCCGAGAAATGAGTGGCAATGTAACATATGGCCTGTCCACTGCTCAACCAACAAAGGCAAAGGCAGTTGTGTTCAGGTAGCACATGACACTTCAGTCTTTCCTACTCCCCAGATGTGAGTCGTTTCTGCCATAAAGTGATGAATGAGGGAAATGAAACCTTTGGTTTCATTTCTTTGCACTTCATTCTGCTATACTTATTTTGAGAGTTTTGGAGCAGACTGTCTGAGACAGGAGTGGAAACAAAAGAACTGGTAAATTCAAAAATATTAGGCTACTATTGTGCTCAGGAGTCGTGTGTCCTGCTGAATGAGTTACAGGCTTACCCTCTGAAGTTGGCAAGGGCTGTCATAGTAATTTGGTTATTCCCAGCTCTACAAGGAAATCTGATTGAAATTTTCATAGCCAGTGTTGTGAACCTGAATGCAATAGGGAGGGAGGTGCATATAAATCTGGTCTCTCTTATCCTAGTATTTAATATAAATATATACCTCTGTCAAGTTATTATGTCATCACTCCAGCAGTCATGCAATTGGGTCACCTTTAATTTTTGTGTTTTAAATCTGATTAGGATTGCAGATTTCATTAATTCTGATTTCTCCTTCCTCTTCTCTTAATCCCCCTTCCGTGCCACAAACATACACATACACCAGGATTCCAAGGGCACAGAAATGATAACTAAAGTCTTTCAATATTTGGGTTTCACACTCCTCAAATTCAGATTTCACTTCCCTCTGTCTGAAAATGACTGCATAACTTTTTGTTACAATTCTGATCTAATGGATTCTGCATGTGAGGTGAACAGAGAGATTTTTCCTTGTGTGGCTACTGTCCTGGAGATGGGAGCTGACTACGTTCTGTGTAAGCCTAGAGGAAACAGAGAGAGAAGACTGACTGGTTTACACTTTTTCTATCTGACATGGTCTTTATTACTGTCGGATGATCTTAAAAATTCATATGTTTTGCCTGGGGTTTTTGTTCAGTTCTCCAGCAGAAGAAAGCCTAAAGGCAGGATGAATGTTTAATGTCACGTGGAGAATACAGTGGTATTGCCAGTGTGTGGAAGCAAATTTGCCAGGTCATAATTCTTGTAAATGGTTATAATGTTTGCATAAAGACCCCAGATTACAATCTGAGAGCAGGAAAACAGAATGGGAGTTTTTGGCTCAGGATAAGCAAAATGCTTAAGGACAACCTGAGAAGTGCAAATAAACTGATAACATAAATTGCGTCCTATACAAAAACCTGAGTAGGATGAAAAGTTGCTATGGCAAATGGAAAGAATATGGTGCCAGCTGGGATCACACTTCAGTGGGGAAAGGGACATTCTTTTGCACTGTAAAAGGAGGGGACGGGAACTCATAGAACAGACAAGCTCTTTTGAAATATGTCTGGCTTTCAGATCTCTGTGCAAGGCTCTGAATGGCATTAAAGTTGTGCTGCTGGTGATTGGAGCTCAAGTCTTATCACAGGGTATACCCTGAGTTCTAAATGATTTATTACATGGGATCCCAGATGACAGTCTTCCCTGTCTTGAGGGAACTCAGATCCTGTGGATCCATCTGTAATATTTTTTCCCTGTTTTAAGACATAATTTTCCAGGCTGTGGAGATACAGACGGATCCTTTCAGTGAGGTTTGGGGTCCACCTCAGAATGTCAGATATGGATGCAAGAATCCCAGCAAGCAGAATATTCTGGAGAGTAAGCATGCATGTGTTGTAGGACCCACATCTCACCTTCCACTGGGGCTGGTGTGAAACAGGTCCCAGGCAGCCTCAGTGCAGCCAGTGTGAGGAAATCAGGCTAGTGAAGGAGGGAGTATAATGAGCTGTGGATGTGGATAAGCAGAGCCTCTCCTAATGTCCAAAACCAACAGATGTTTGGAATGTGAACCTCATTTGGCTTGGGTACAGGTAATGCTGATGACACTAAACAGTGTGATAAGGTGGACGTGTCAGAAGGAAGAGCCATCTTACAGAGAGACCTGGACAGGCTGGAAGAGAGGGCCAGTAATAAGAGTATCAAGTTTAATAAAGTGCAAGTTCCTCCGCTGTGATGACATAACCAAAGAGTTCAGTCCAAGCCAGGATCTGTGTGCCTGGGGAACAGCCTTGCTGAGAGGAACCTGCGGGTCCCAGTGGACAACAAGCTGAATGTGAGCCAGCCGTGAAACGCTGGCAAATTGGATCCTGGGCTGCACCCATAGGGGCACTGCTGGCTGAGATGAAGATATGATCATCCCTCTCAGCATGTGTTAGGCTGCATCTGGAGTGTCCAGTTCTGGTTCTAAAATTCAAGAATGTGGACAAACTGGGGAGCACCCAGTGGAGGGCCATGAAGATAATCAAAGGGCCAGAAAACCTACCTTGTGAGAAGAGATTGAAGGAGTTAGGACTCTTTTTCCTGGTGAAAATAAGAGTGGAGGTAGGGGACAGCTCATCATAGTATACCAGTATGTGCAGCTGCAAAGATAGAGGCTCTCCTTTCAAAAGCAGCCACATGGACAGGACAAGTGGCAAAGTACAAGTTACATTGGAACAGAGTCAGAGAATCATTTAGATTGGAAAAGACCTCTAAGAGGTCTTTGAGCCCAACCATTAGCCTAGCACCACCATGTTCCCCACTAAGTCATGTCCTTAGGTGCCACATTCAGATGTTTTTTGAATGATTCCTGGAATAAAAAGAAAGAGATTTCATCTCAATTTAAAAATTAAATTTTTTACAAGTGAGAACAATGACTGGAACAACCTTCCTGGGGACACGGTGGAGTTTCCTTCACCAGAGGTTTTCAAGATGGGATTGGACAACCTTCTGTATAATCTCGTCCTTTACAACATGGGCTGCTCTATGAATCTATGCTATTCTGCTATGATTCTACAACAGCAGTGGCTGCTCTTTGAGGCAGGAGTTGGCCCACTTTTCCCATGGCAGAAGAGAAGAGGAATAGCTAAGAGGTGGTTTTGCACCAGCATTCTAATGCTGCCTGCTGTGTGTGTCACTTCCTCTCCCTGCTGCTGCTGCTCTGGAAGATCTGGGACCGGAGGGGCTGCCCTGTGAGGCTCTTTCAGCAGTGGTCATGAGCCAAATTCTTCTTGTCCCTGCCCACAGCTCTCTTCACTCTGATCTTTTGGTCTTCCCACAGAAGAAAATAAAAGTACTGCTCGTCTTCCTTATTTACATGTCAACAGTTCAAGAGATGCAGGAAAGATAGGAGTACTTCTCCCATGTTTCAAGGGGAATGAGTAGGTTTGAGAGGATAATAATAATCCTATATTTCAAGAGTGTAAGGGAATTTCCTTGAAGGACAGGCTGAAGGAAGCAGGTGAGGAAAGACATCTTCCCCAAGAACACATTATACTTTATATGTCTACTGTACTGTTGAAAGTTTTTGTTATACAAGAGTCTACCCACTTTTAATCATGCTAAATGGATGACAATGAGCTTCTGGAGCAGCTGATTTCTTTCACTTAGAAAAAAATACATTCTCAGTGTATATTTGAGTGCTATTGTATCTTTAAGAGGAGTTTGGGGGGGACATGCTTCCATAAAAATACAATGAGAACTGTATGCTGGTAAATACAGCTTCTTGAGTTCTTGAATAATTTCCCAATCAAGTCTGTTTCATCAGTTCAAGTTCCTTGAAAATTCACAATTGCAAGCCTTGTTCATAATTTTTTATATTTTTCTTAGTCATATATACCCACAAAAAGTAGGTTTGGGATCACATCGATCTAGTTGGATAGCATTTTACATCTCCTATCCACAGCTATAAGCAACAGCACAAAACGTGAGGCTGGAAAGAATAAGACCCCATAATTATAAGGTGAAGTTGACTATGTGATATTTCTACATTGTGCTTTTTTGGTTTTCTTCCTGGGGTAGAAATCATTTCATGTTTCTGGATGCCTGTGTTTATCTTAATGAGTTATTAGTTGTTATTGTGACTGAACTACATGAACTACAACATTTTGTATCTAAGCATTTGAAGTAAAGGGACAATAAATTCATATGCACTCCTATGGAAGAGACTACACTTTCTATAATTGAAATGAATAAATGGTAAAGAAAGAAAGAGAGAAAAGGCTGAAGATGTTTCCCATGAGTGAATGAAATGGTCCACAAACAGGCATTGAAACATAAGTCACATCTGCTGTAAAGCATAAAAAATAAGGGAGTGGGTGCATGATGTGCAGGAACACCCGTGTCAAACTGTGAATTTGCAGCAAACCAGGAAACTTGCTGTGAATCAGGAAAACACAATGATAAAGTTTTGTTGTTTGTCCTTTTTAACATCATCGTGTTTTCAGAGAAGCCTCAGCTTTTTCTTCTATAATTTCTTTTTAAAATACGATGCCCATATTCATCTCTCAGTGCCTATTTTCACTTCTAATCTACAAAGAGAGTACTCCTCTTTGAGGTCTGTACTCACGTAGTACAGTAACACGTGCAGAAAGTTCAATAACAATACCATAATTATGATAAAAGCAACACACCTCATAAGACTCCCTTTAAAAATATTCGGAAAAACATTTTTAGTCTGATTTTGTGAAAGTCTTTAAAAATATCGGAGGAACAGTGTAAAGTTTTTTTCATTTTGAAGTCACATCGCAATCACAGTTGGCCATGTTTGTGAAAATGGTACCATGGGAATGTTCTCATCACTTCTTAAGGTAGCAGAAACTGCATGTGGACAGTGGCTGAGACTCTGCAAACACACATGAATTCAAAACAGAAAAAGCACATCTTCATTTTACCCTCTACCAGCTGTGGTTCCACACAGACAGAACTGAGCCACTTTGGTAAACAAGGGTAACATGATCATACATTTATATAATGCATAGTATATTTTAGTTCTTACCTCCAAAGATACAGCAGCTGACCAGGTACAGCAAATTTGATGTCTTCTAACTAGGTTGAAGCTTCCTGTATGTCTGTCCTACCCCAAAATGGAATGTTCTGTTTTTATTTCCTTTTTAAATACACTTCTAAGATAACATCTGTTTTACTTCTAATGGTCTAAAGCAAAGAAGTATAGAAAGAAAGTCCCTTAGGGGATCAGGGGGTTTTATAACCGACTGAACTGCAACACACTGAACTTGCTTCCCCTTTTATGTCTAAATGAAACTTCATTGTGAAACTGTGTACTGTTAAAATAGCTGATTGCACCACACTCAGTCCAGGCAGATGGACTGTTATATGAAAAAAACCCTGGGGAGCTGAACAGCCAGAACAATCTTAGAGAACCTACTCATCTGCTGGCAACTTACCACGCACCCCATTTCAGCCACTATCCATCGATCTCCTTTTAGCTGATGCAGAGAGACATCTTGACACGTAAAGATTGTCATGCCAAATAGGTTGGAAGAGTGAGGTGCCGAAGCAGAAGTGTATTCCACAGCAGGCCTACTTTGCTGTCTGCAGACCCTGGTACATATAATCTTCCATCAAACAGCACAGCACAGCTGCTTCATCAAGGTTTTGCTTGGTGTGGGTAACACCTGTCAGGAGAGAAGTTGGACCTAAGTTAGACCTTCTCTTTTTAGCACTCAGTGCTTGCCATACCCAGGCAGGCAGCTTGTCTTAGTAGGGGTAGTGGATGAAAATAACTTAGGCAAGCACGAATTCATCCTCCAAGCTTGAGGTGTACAGACAGTGAATATGGCTTTGAGGTTGGTGTTGGAGTATTCCTTAAAGGGCAGAGGACAACTGTTTGAAACATGGAAATGGACTGTTGTAATTGATCCCAACAAAACATACAAAATTTGCTTAAGAAGGCATCATTAGGCATGCCTACGTTGTAAGAATAAGAGAAATACATTTTAATTCTCAGTAAATTTTAACTTCCTCATAGAGGACCATTTTGTGTTTTTTTTTCTCAGAAGCCTCCAATTCCACCAGTCAGAAACCATGCTTCTTAGAACACCATTTTCCTCAATAATCACTCTGATGCAACATATGATTGAGACTAGTATCAAAGTTTTCTTCCAGAGTCTTCTAAGATATGGACATGGAAAAAGTACATGTGCCAATCTGGCCCTACCTACACATCCCTAGTTAATTCATAGAACAGTTTAAAAAGTAATATTGTACCAACTATATGCCATGCTAGGAATCTACACAGCTAAAATGCATAAAAACTGGACAAAATTGGCAGTTTAACACAAGTCTCAATAGATACCTTTGCTGAAAAAAAAGATCTCTGTGGAAAAAAACCTACTACCAGACCACTTCTTTTTTGCTTAACGTTATCATTATTAATAATATTAATATTAGTTTGCTTTTTCCTTTAATCCTTCATTCTTACTGTGGACCAATCTCGGGCTTGCCAGATTTATACTGGTCCAACACTTTTGTTTTGATGTTCCCTTATCTGGATGAAATAGTATTGAAGGGAGCAAGAAATAAATCGCTAAGAAGTTTTATCTCTTCTGTAGAACCAGAGAGCTCTATAGTTACAGGAGATCCATATTTCTCAGTTAGACTGTTGGAAAATAAATTTGGTAGTATAAAAAAGCATTTCTGTAAAGGTCCTTAGAGAGTTTTCAAAAATATTTTTTTAATCATCTAAATCCATGTAAAAACAGAAAGATAGAAACAGACAGATATTTTAAAGTAAAAAGTGCTTCCACAGCCAGAAAACTACAACTAACCAGAATCACTGGAAAATCAATCTACTTTCATAGAGATACTTAAGTATGGATTTAAGACTTACCTTCAGGCAACTATGATTTGGAAAATGTAAGTGGTCTTTTTTTTTTTCCCCCAGTCATGAACATGGAATGTTTACAGTTCTCTAGAGAATACCGTCTCTATTTCTGTTTTATGTACCTACGGAAGGGAGACATAAACTGATAATTTTTTTGTCATATAAATTGTGCATTAACATCCTGACAGTCTGGGCTTTGGGGGCATTAATTTATTTTAGTGACCTTTTCTACATTCACTCCTGACCTTGGAAGACCTCTCCTCAGCTAAGAAGCACTGCTCTATACGAATTTCCACCATGTGGTTTATAAACTTCTCTGCATGTAGCACTCAGAGGGCCTGATCCAGAGCTGAACGAGCTGGGAGATGATACAGCACAGCGGCATCTGACCCCTTTCACAGAGATCTCTGCGTGTGCTGTGCCTCCTGCTCCCAGTGGAATAGATGTAAGAGGAGAGGAAAAGCCTCAGCACCTCAGAGAGTCTTTCAGTCAGTCTCTTCATCTGTAAATGCAGATCAAATTGTCTAAGGCCATGCCAAATAATTTTTGTCGGTGTACTTCACCACAGTGAGCCGAGTGCACCAAGACTGTGCATCCCTATTACCAAAATGGAAAAGAAATACGTTTCAAGTAAACTGTTTCCTTCTCTACCACATTCTTCTGTTCACAGGGAATTTCCTCAAGGAGACTGCTTTAATTTTGATCCCACATACATCTACCTTAGCTTCTTATTTCAGTTCAAGAGTTTATTTTCAAAAAAAATGTGCCAGTTGTTTGCCCTCAGTACACTTCGGTTTGCCTCTTGAAGCATGGGAAACAGACTATTTTTGGATGAAACTCAATGAGAGGACACACAGCAGGACCACACCTGAAAATTGCCATGGCCAAGTTTCCTCATGGAGTTTCATGGAGCCACAGTGGAGCTGATCCAAGATCACCCCTGTCCCCCAGAGCATGCATCCCAGGGAGGTAGGGTTTCAGCAGCTGCTCTTTCTCTGCCAACATCTACTCCAAAGGTGATGCACTATTTGCTGATGCAAGCAGAACAGAAAAATGCTGTCAAGGGGCTCACCTCTAGGATAGTACCTGACAGTCCATCATGCCCAGAGTGACCCTTGCCCATCAACATCACTGAGCTCGTGTGACTCAGAGCATTGTAACTGATAAGGCTGCACTGCCAGAAACAGAAGAGAAGGCTGAAGTTCCTCCTGTACAGCTACAGACTCCAGCACAGAAGTTCAGAATAAATAAATCTGCCTAACCTGGCCTATTTGGTCAAACAGTGCAATGACTCATCACTTGCAGTCAAAATGTTTGTATTCTAGAAATTATAAATTAGGAGCTTTTGAAAGGACCAATATTCCATAGATTTTTGTTAAAATTAATAGTGGTAATAGTGCAGAAAATAAATCTATTTTCCTGCACATACAATCAAACAGGTATTTACACAGTAAGCCCTCTCTTGTTATCAAAAAATTTCAGCTCTATTCTCATTTGGTATGTCTATACCTTTAACCAGAAATTTTAAAATTCAAAATATTAACTGTATCACTTTAAGATTATCACCTGGTTTATAATTACTTTGTGCAAAGGACAAAGGAGATATTTTTAAACCTTTTGATCTTTGGAAAGAAAGATTTTATGGGAAGGAGATAAGCATTATCTAGTACTTCATCATAAAGAACAATCATGAATGATTTATGTTCATTACAGCTGTAAAATCGGATATATTTCAAGCTTCCCAGTATGCCATACTTGATTAGAAGTCAGTTAGAAGAAAAGTCAGTTTTCAATGCATTTATTATGCTGGTATAATTAATTATTTAAGTAAATCAGCAGTATTTAAGCAGGGAAGAACCTCCATCATACACAGTTTTCTTTCCTCTTCCTTCATTGTTGGTAGTATAAAATAGATCAGCAAAAATTTCTAGGTAAAATATGAGGATTCCCATCTTCCAAATGATTGCCAGGAAAGTCTGGTTTCAAGATATCTCAGGCTGAAAGGAGTCTTCTGTGCGAATTGCTCCAATTGTTTCCACCTGTTATGTGGAAAAAAAGGTGGCTATCACATCGTTCTCTCGGCCATGCACTTCCAAGGAGGTAAAAAAAGGTCATGGATGCACTGAGAGCCTTGCCATCCTGGAAAAGGTGAGGGAGTTTTGGTGCCCACCTGTATTTACTGTCTCCAGCTTTCCATGACCAGTGATGACCCATGCAGCAATGGGAAGTCTGACTGTCCTTGGCACCCACAGCTTTAATTCCAGGAACTCAGGGAGCACAGCACCTTCCATGTAGTTAAATCCATCAGGTTCTGCAGTTTGATACTTCAAAATAAAGTAGTCATTTCATCACACAAAATCACCATTAAATCTTTTAGTTAACTACAAAGGCAAGGGCCATGAATTTCTTGATTTCTTGTTACATTATAATATGTCTCTTTGTACTTAGGTAAAATAGGGTACATTTTCTGCCTTATATGCTCCTTCTAGTCAATATAACATACAATTTATTCCTGTGTTCAATTTTGTTTCTCTTTTGTGGATGACATAATATTTAGTTATATGCAGACATCTCTACAGATTTGATCTATACGAAAATCAAGAAAACAAAAGCAAGGCCTTTAAGAAAATTATAAGCAAGACCATTGCACTCTCCAATAAAAATCTCTAAGGTCAAGGGGAGTTTTATATGGGAAAATATGGCAGTATTGGACGTAGCATATGCTACTCTTCATTATTTTCCCAGAACCAGTCTTTTTAGTAATGAGTAGCCAGTTAATGAAGACTTTTCACTCCATGTTCTTTTCTTCTCTCATTGATTTACATGAACTAGGAGATTGATCTTGTCACAGTTCAGAAATCTTTCCCTTCAGTCTCAGCCTCTCTTCATTCATAATCCTTAATTTACCTTTCGTGGTCAAATTGTTCTGCCCATATCCTTTTCTTTTTAATGGTCATAAATAATACTGCACTGATGTATCCTGAACAAAGTGCTTTATTGTCCAAGTGATCCCACTGATGGCAGAGACTATACTGAGGTTTCCCTGCACAACCACACATGGGCACACAAGCCTGCAAGCGCTGTCAGCGCAGGAATCACAAGTGACCTGCAAAGCATCAGAAGGCAGTGCTGGGCAGGCTGCCCTCTTTTCAAAGCCTGGCCAAAAGCCAAAAACTTTTCTCTTTTTTTCCTCTTTTTTCTTTTTTTTTTTTTTTTTGGTCTTTTAACTCTTACCATGATAACTTAGGAATGGATGGTTTTTAAGCCAACAAACAAGAATATC